TGTTTTTGTGAGAAGAAAAATATTATATTTTACGTATAAGGCCAATTCTTAATGGCGCAACTGCCAAGAGATCGCATTTCCACCACTCTGTGAAAAATAGGTTGTGACTCTTGTCACTCTTACGCTCTCAGGGGCGTTGTCTGTATACATTAAGAATATTACTTGTTCTTTATATTTTTGCTCTGAACTCGTCTAAATATATGCGTTTTTTAATTTTGCAGCAGCTCCACGAGTAACACGATGCATCTACGGTGTAATATCTTTAAAAATTAGGAACACAAGAAAATGCGATTTCTTTTTCATACGGAAGAAACAGACTGAGGAATATTTAAAATGCGTTACGCGGACACTCGAGGCGAAATCTAAGTAGGTAACCCCGCTACTAAAAGTGAAATCTTTTATCTTGGAAGCAACACGTAAATTAAATTCAGCAATACAACTTATTTACATAAAACCAATTGTCCATGCTGCGTGTCTGCTTTAATAAACCTTTTCACGATTCGATTGGACAGCTCTTTCAAAACAAACGGCTTAAACGCTTGAACAATATTGTTTTTTTAATCCGCACGTAGAAAATACCGTGGATGTAGGATGTAAACCGTAAACCATCGAGTACAGCGAAGGTCCGTTTTTGTTATCTTGTATCATTCGCGATAACGCCGTCGATACCGCCGCTTTGCGAGAAAATTATTAATTGCGACGTCTCGTCAATACGTGACAGCGACAGGGGCGACGTCGTAAAAAGCTGTTGTCGCAACGGGAAAGGGAGGGTGGCGTCGCAGAGTTTTTATGGGGAAAAATTCAGCAGCATGTGCTGTGGCGCGATGGGGAAGAAGGGAGAATGGTACACATTCGCGCATTAATATTATTTCGAACGCGACAAACGAGCCCGAGTGGATTTACGACTACGGTACATCCTGAAAATCCCCCTTTCTCTCTATCGTCCTCACTTTTTACGACACTTGTTTACGGGCGCACGACGCACTTAAACTACTATATAGTTTAGCGCTTATATTGTAAAAGTGATTGTTGCGGAAGCACTGTACAAAATTTGAGAATCGCATCGGCGCGAATTGCTTACTCTCACACGTGGTCGGCTAAAACGAAATTATTGCCGCGCTACGAAGTGATAAAAACTATAGCGGGTCACGGATAAAAAGATAAACGCGCCAGCTGTGAAACATTACGTCGGAGAAATTGGGACAAACCAATTCTGCTACTTTAATTAACATTCATCATTATTACGTTTCATCGCAATTGAGTAAATATGACTCGAGCGACATAAATAACTCAAACCGATATTTTTCCAGCCATATTTTCAACAATAAATTCGTGTTTTATTTTTTGGCATTCTATCTTCAGCTTAATCTGAATTGTTTATATTTGCTCCGAACGCGCAAAAAAGTATATAACGGAAATTTATATGTGTATAATAAAAATTGTATAATAAAATTTTGCAGAAATATATACAAAAATCTTCTTTAATCCTTCTTTTAGAGAAAATATTAAATTTTTAGAATATGTAATTTTAAAATTTGTAACAAAAATATGTACAATTTTTTCTTTACACTTTATATTTCTATGATTATAAAATTAATAAAAACTGCAAAAAATTCTTATATAAAGATTTAATTTTAATTTTTATTTTGTAAGTAAATTTATTATAATTTCTTATAAATTAGTTACTAAAATATAATCAATTTATAATCTCATTATTGAATAAAAATTTCTTTTGTCCATTTTTTTACATTGCAAAAAACTTGATCATGCCGGCAGTATTGCGGGAAAAACTGACTTTCCTTTTGTCTATATACCAATTATTCAATCTCTCGATCAGTCGGCCAAAAGCCGCGGGGCTTTCATAAAACCGCCAATACACTCGATAAGGGCATCGGGCAAGTTCTCACTTGCATGCAGACGTTATGAAATTCATGGCAAATCGCGATTGATTTTACGGACTCGGACGCTAAACGGATTAACGTCGGGCGAAATCATATTTGCCCGTTGTTCCTCGAGCGTGTCCACGTACTGACCTAGATCGATTCTAATCTGGTCGCGCCCCATCCGGACTCGAGGGCTTACGTCGAAATTATTCCCGTTGGCAACCGGCCGGCCGGCCGGCCGGTCGGCCCAGCACTCCTTCGCAACCGGCCTCCGCAGGTTGCGGGATATCCGCTTAAGTGCCGCTAAGTATAGTAAGATATGAGGAATGGCCGAGCGTGTTATGTATTCATCGACCGCGCGCAGCTGAATGCCTGAACGTTCCCTATCGGAGTACGCGCATAGGAAGACGCATTTACGCAGTTACTCAGGGCGCTGTTTATCGACACTGTCGCTGTATCGAGGCTGACTCCCGGGATGCAAATGACACCCGTATATCACGTCGATAGTACACATCCGTAGACAAAGGACCAAGGTACTTACCCGTCGGCGAAACGGACGCTCCGGATGCAGCGATGAGGCGACGAAAACGCTGGGCCGCTCCGTTGCCGTTGTCTTTATCGATGCTTCTTCTTACGCGCTGAGTATCGACTGCTAGAAATTTCTCCGCGATTCGGGAAACTGCGGGAAAAGGAGACAGATAACTGGGACGAAGGATGGAATTGAAATGCGTTCGATGTTTCAGGACAGTGACGCATTTTCGTTGAGATACGCGCGCCAGAATATGGCTGTCATCTTTCACTACTGAAAAATAATCGTGATATCTGCACGAAGTATAAGTAATTGAATGAAACAAAGCACGATAAAAACAAAACAAAGTACTTGGCATTTTCAGTTTTCGCGCAGAGTCTCTTCGAGATTAACCAAGTTCGATAACAACTTATCAATTTCCACTTTATCCACGCAGAGCGTGCTGGATCTTAAAATAGATTCAATCAAATATCTGATCGTTTAATTAAAAATGTGACGGTTGTCGAGGCGAAACATTATGCAGATAAGCGACCCAATTTCTTTCATGCGGATTTTTAAACTGGAAGAAAATGGACGCGCGTGCGTCGCAGCCAGCTGTAGAGCTGGCGGAGTGGAATAAAAATCCTCATCCGTATGTCTCCCACAAATAATCGTTATTTCTTCTCCTTTAATTGTCTTAGGAATTCTGGTACAATTGGATCCAACATAAACGGTAAATCGGTACTGCTCGTTATATATACATTAATGGTACGTTCGATAGTTTAACATCCTTCGAGTAGTGTTCGCTAAGAGCATATTCGCTGATCGCTCGTGTGCTAACAAGTAATTGATCTCGTACAATCGGGTTGAACTTATTCGCTACCAGTCCGTTCTCGTTTCCGTTTGCGACTCGGACGCGAGCCAATTAATCATTGCCCGCGTCCGAGTCCCGTTTTTATATATATCTTTCCGGAATATACAGAAGCAGGATTAGCGGCACCCGCGTGCGCGAAAGCCATTTACAAGTACTAACGAGGACAGATCTCGTTCGGCGTATAAAAAAGCATGGGAGAGGGGGTAACGGGGGATAGATGGATGGATGGATGAAGGTGCGGAGGGAAGAAGGGAGGGGGGAAAAGGGAGATGCGGTGGTGATTTTGCAGAACTCGTTCTCGTCGCCCGACGACGATCGCCAGAACGACCGTCGTCGAGGAAACGTCTCGTCGGGAAACTCTTCTCCAGGAACATACAACCACGTTCGCGCCTTCTCCTCGTCGTAACGGAGACCTCACGGTCTCCGTCACCCAGATATTAGACTCAGGGGTGCGCAAAATTTCATCGCGCTCCGCGCCAGAGTATATTTGACCTCTCCGCCGCTCAGCAAAATTCCTAATATTACCACGGCGCGCGCACCTTTTTCCCCCCTGTAATTTAGTTTGAAAGTAAGTTACTCATTGGCGACTCGGAGGGATTAATATTTAATATGCTCACACCTCGGTGCCCCGCGTGCTGCGTATCGGGAGAAAAGAGTAAAAATTCGCGGGCGAATAAAGTGAAGAGTTTCGTGTTTTGTGCACCCCTGGATTCGCACAGGCAAACCGTGAACGATAATCGCGATCGGAAATCGGATTTTTCTTATTTACAAAGGCTGTGCCGCGTCTTTGTTAATTTTATTTTATTTTTGTTGTCGAGAGTTGTTTCCTAATTTTGTTCGATGGCTGATTCCGCTCGGTGGTTCAGATGGTCTATTTCGACTGTATCGATTGATTCTGCTCAGCATGATAATCATGGAAACCAAACATATTTATACTACGTTTTCTAATAACGTTTCCCTTTTTTTCCGAGATTCTCATTGATCACTTTTTTTTAAGGGAAAGTTTACTCGCTGAAGCGCGTCGAGAATTTTTTTGGCAGATCACAATCATCGATACTATTGATTGATGACGAAAGTCTCGTGTAACGACTGCGTTTTAGATGATGAAGCACTCAATCAATCTAAGAGTGTGAATTAGTAAGAGTTACATCGTGGTTCTTAATCATGCCGAAGAGAGTTACAGCGATCGTTTATCGTTACATTCAAGAAGGTATGTACAGTACGGCTATTCGTGGGTCGATCGTACTGCTGATAATGCGTATCCGAGGCGTATCGAAGGGCGATATTCGGCACGAAAGTTGTTTCTGCTCGAACGGAAAGATAAAGCGGATAAGAACCGTCGAGAAAATTTCTTCTATTTTCTACTGTTTCAGTTTCTACCGTTTTCATGTCACTCGCGTTTGTGTAATATTTAAAATCCATCGCATTTTACAATCTGATATGAGAAACAATATTTATTTTCGAATTCGAAAATAAATATGTGTAACAGAAGTAAAACCAACAATAGAATAGAATTATATAATTAAGCTTACAGATATTAAGTTATTTTAGAATTACTCCAAAAAACCTTTGCACAGCATGTTATATGTATGTAAATGTACCAATAAAAACGTATTTATAACAAAAAAAAGAAGAGCTTATTATTGGTAGTTACGTGTACTTATTTTTACACATTGGCCTAGTTTACACCGATCACTTGATTTGATACGCGTATTAAATAGTAAATAACTTATAGTAAATTAGTTTTATTATTTGATGCTCAGCTCAAATATACTATAGGTATTTGATACGCGTATCAAGAGATCGGTGTAAACACTATAAACTAGGCCAGTGACTTGACTTTCCGACAGATCCAAATACAAAATGCATTTCGTAACACGAGCACCACATATAATTTTCTAGCTGTTCGCTAGAAACAATGCCACCAGAAATCTCAATAAATAAACGAATCATCAGAATAGAGCTCTTTCGCGATTTTTTCGATCATCGATAACTCTGTCCTTCTCGCGGTTGACATACTTATTTAGCGATGACACATATATCCTTTGAAAATATAGTTGTAATGCATTGTGCAACAACGTCGTTCCACGTCGCGCGCCGCAATCGCGTCTGCATACGCGCCTCGGATTCCTCTCGCTACGCCACGACCGACCCACTCGCGATCGGAGATCTATGAAGACGTATACACGGATAGACCAGTACGATACGATTCTTTAATTACTTAAAGCTTAATGTTATCTTAGCGAGCGCGCGAGTACGCGCGCATTGTCCCTCGCGCGCGTTATCCGCGCCGCGCTTTTCCCATCGCCGGGAACACCATTTTCTCGCTTCCGTAGTCCCCGCACTCAACGTCAACCTGTCCGCTTAGCAGCACGACGTAGTTCGATGTGTCCAGCTCCACGCGTGATATCTTCCAGTTATCTAGTCGCGGTGAAAATCTCGTGCCGGATGCGCACTCGGACGTGCGGATAATTCCGAGAAATCGAATCGCGCGATGTGGAAGCAGATTGAGGATATATTCAAGGACACGTCGAAACGCAGGTAGGTCTCGGATACCTGATCCGCGAGCTGAAATCGACGCGCCTGAAGTCGTAACTCGAAATCCGGGGGCTTTCTATCGCGTCGAAATCAGCGAAATCCCTGCACCGAGGGCTTAGCACGAGCATCGAATTAATCGTAGCCGCGGTATCGTGCGCCACCGTGAGAGCTTCCGTGTTTCTCCGGAATAAACTTTCCGTCACTTTCCGCGACCGATATATTTCCCGGGGTCGACGCTGCTCTCGGATGCCGCAACTGAACGCTGGAATGGAACTTTATTCGAAGAACATTCCGGGCGCGTCAGCTGGTTGCGTTAACTGCGACCGCACAGTCGACCGTCGACGTGATATAATTTTGATCATCTCGGATGGGAATGCAATTAATTTGATATATATTTAATACGTGCGGAATATGACAGATCAAATTGTGACGATACTCTTAACGGGAAGAATTAAAAAGAGAAATTAATATTATATACGCGCGAATGAGTCTCTGCATAAAAGTAAAATCCGAGCAGTTTTGATTTGGCTGTGAAAGAAAATAATCGCGTAGAATTAATATCTCTAATTAAATATGCGTGTTGAACGCGCCGCGTCAGCATAATAGCGAGAAAATATATATATCAGCTCAACCCTGTATCGACCACTTCGATATTTCCCTCTCGCGAACGACGGTACGTCGAGCTTAGTTATATAACTTATCGAGTCTATCATACACGCACACGGATATACGCGCGACGGGTCTCGGTGGCCGTAGAGAGGATCGACGACCCTCGGGCTCGTAAATTCTGCGTCCTGAGATGCAAATGGGACGCCCGGCCCGGCCCGGGCGAAACTGCGGGCGTCGTCCTCCCTTGCCAAACTACGAATTCCGCACGGCCCGAGCCGCATAATTCAGAGATACTTCAGTGGCTTTTTCGTCTTTCGCGAAAGGCGAAAATCGATTATTGTCATAGCCGATTCCGTTAGCTAGTTCCGTAGTAGGCGGCGGGCACGTTTGAGGTGAAATATTTATATTCGTCGAAACTTTCGCGTGAGAATCAAACTGAAAGAGAGCGCTGGAGGCCCCCGCGGCGAGAAAAGTTACGGTCTTAGTAAGTAGCCCGAAAGAGTGATGTACAATTTACAATAATACATTTTTTCGTATCTGCGCAATTTATTTTTCTCGTCGTTGCATGCCTTCAATGACGCAGAGATAAAAATTAGCCGCATATTTTACCTTTTGCAAAGATATAGAATAATTATTTCGCACGTTGAGATAGGTCAAATTTAAAATATTTTAAATTTGGCATCTAAATGTCCTAACAGCAAAAATAATATTCTAATATAAAATATGAGATTGCAACGTGTACGAGATATGCGCATTTGCAATTGAAAAAAATTGCATTCGGACGCCGGTGACGCAAAGTTTTCCAGGCAGGCAAGTCGGAGTGCACATCCGGCGGCTTACGAGACATTCGTATGACGCAGAGCGCGTGTATATAGGTATCTCGGAAGTTTGCGCGAGTGAGGATAAGTACGACGAACCTCAAAATATTTGTTCTCTTCGGGGGAAGAAGCGATACCGCATCCGGCGACCAGAAATTGAGTGAAATTCCACGCGGTAGTTTTGCCCGGCGTATCTGGGTCGCCGGTTAGTCTGACCGGACACGAAAACACATCGGTTCTTACCTCTCGAGATCCACGACAGTCAGCTGCGTTCGCCAATAAATCTCCACATCTACGCGATCGCCCCGGGTGGGAAAAGAAATGCTAATTCCGCTGTCGCAAATGTTGACGTAAGAGAAAATCATTCGTCCTTGTCGAAACGCGTTAGAATGATTTGTTCGTCCTTCGGAATATCGTTCGTATACTCTCAAAGAGAATTCGCGTCGTCCAGTTTACACATCCCCGAATTCGCTCGTCGTCTCGCATTTACGGATTGCTGTTCTCGATTGTTGTAGCGCAAGTCTCGTCGTGCAGCAAGACATAGGCCACGCGGGACACAGTAGTGTTGCTTTAACTTTAAGGAAACGCGAGCCGGCCGGGTAGGGCCGGCCGGATTCTTGCTCCGGAAGCGAAACCAAAGCCAGCGAAGCTCTCTTAGCGGTTGTTGTTAACGCTGCCGCTCATCGTCTTCTCTTTCGTCTCTTTCGGCTCTCCGCGCACTTTTCCACCCCGGCGAGAGCCGATTGCACTATACGAAAAGAAGATCGAGTTGATTTATAGAGTCTGGTAGGTGATGGTTAGCGTGGATGGTGCTCCCGTTCCCCTCCTCTCCTGGCCTCTCTCTCTCTCTCTCTCTCTCTCTCTCGCATCACCCTCTCGTCGTCGCGCGTCGCCCCGTTCTCGCATGGGTGAAACTATCGGCCGTTACTCTCTTACTGCAGCGCCTCGTGATCGACCAGTCACCTTGCGAAGGAGCCGGCGTGCAGGAGCAACAGGAGCAACGCGAGCGTCCTCGTGGCCGCGCCGCTGTTGCTGGAGTTCCCGTGCTGCATGGCCGCCGGATGCTCCCCTGAAACCCAAGAAAGCCGCATACACATAAATTATTTTGCAGACGGGGACTAGGCGGTCAGGGATGCGGCGAATGGAAAATTTACATCACCGCCTGTGCTTCCCGTTTTCTCTCTCTCTCTCTCTCTCTCTCTCTCTCTCTCTCTCTCTCTCTCTCTCTC